TGTGTGAGTTGAGCCCATTGGGGAGCGGACAAGGTTTCTACTTACATTTCAGTTGCGACTTAATCTTGCTACGAGCCGATCGATTGGATTGTGGCTTGCCTCGTGCGGTACAGTCGCGATTCTTATAACTATGTGTAGGTGCTTTTATCTTTTGGTGATAAAAAAATCTCTACTTACATTTCAGTTGCGACTTAATCTTGCTATGAGCCGATTGATTGGATTGTGGCTTGCCTCGTGCGGTACAGTCACGATTCTTATAACTGTGTGTAGGTGCTTTTATCTTTTGGTGATAAAAAAATAAATTCCGGGAAGAATAGCAGCTAAGAAAATAGAAAATTTGGAGAAATTAGAAAAAAAGATATGAGCTAAATTAGATTTTGAGATGGACGAAAGGTTCGTCTCCATAGAAAATAAATTTTCGTCCATAGAAAGCCGAATGGAGGACAAATTCAAGAGCATAAGGAAATCCAAGTGCTGATGAAGAACCTATGGAGTTCACACAAAACCAGCTCTGCCTGTGACGTGGTCAATAGACGATGACGGGAACAGATTCCAACAACAACAACCAAAAGGATTCGCGCGACATAGGGGCAGCGTCACAACTTTAGGCTGATCGGGAGTTGTAGTATCGAGCGAGGAAACCCAAAGCAGACTCAAGCAACAAACACTTTGAAGAAATAATACAACATTCGTATGGCTTGAACAGACAAAAACAAGCAAGATGAATGATGACAGAGATGGAAGAGACGTGAAGGAGTTGATAGAGATTCTAGTTATCGATAAGCCACATGATGAGTTTGGGTCTACGATATTTTCTAAGATTGACTATGACTGTAAATCAGGACATCGACCGATTCAGAAGCGGCCAACGGATTTGCACAAGAATACATTTCGAACTCTTGTGGGTCACTATGAATTCTTGTTTAAATGGAAAAGATTGTCAAATAATGACGCTAGGTGGAAGCCGCCTGACTTGATCAAGCAACAACCTAACTTTTTCCCACCTTGAGGACAATTTTATTTGGGGAGGGTGTATTGTTATGTTGACGCCTAGTCTAAGGGTAGATATGTCTTTTATATGCCGAAGGGCAATTTAATCATTTATTTTTATTATTGTTGGGTATAAATAAGCTTGTTATGTCTAGAGTTAAATGGGGATGCATGAGATTGAGTTGTGAGTCTTAGGTCTAGGGATTGAAAGAAATTTCGTACCTCTTGAATTGTAGGAATTGAGAGAGACTGCCTGCCTCTCGAATTATAGGTTTTTATCTCTATATTCGTGTGAGTTGTTTGGACTATTGCGATAAAAATTTCTGTTTGCCCTAATTTCTACAAAAATCTGTGGATTTTTACGTCGAATCGTAAGAGTGATTTCTTTCACAAAATACGGAAACTAATGCTTATGTCATAAGCATTTCCATCATCATTTTTTGTTCGATTTTTTGAATATCTGAGTTTATTTTACATCAGATTGTGATGATCATTTTTATATTGTCGTATCACTGCAATGGGTTTGCATAAAATTTAGTTATGATAACCATGTGATGATCATTTAGATTTGACCTTTTAGACATATACATATAAGGAAAGTGTCATAGCCTGTTGAAGATGATATGGTAGAACAAACGTGAGAATGATGAGGGCATAGAAGAACTTTTGAGTCTTCTTTATATTTTGATGTTTTTATGAATCTTAAGGGTGATACTAATAATGGTGTTCATGTTGAAATCCTTAGCTGAACCACAGCTCATCTACTGTTTCTATTTCTTGGATATAGTTACTTTTCCACTTTCCATTATTTCATTTGCCACATTATACATTCCAGTTGAATTAGAAAGTTTGAAGCCATAAATTCAATTTCCTGTGATGTCAAATTCATATCGTTACGTTAGCTGTTATGTTATGCTTTTACTTTTTCGAGCCTGACTGTGCATAACATCTAGCAGTCTTTCTATGAATCATCTTCTGGTTACTATCCAATCAGCCTTCCTCTCCTCTAATTCTGATTCCAAGCGAACTTGTAGGCTGAAGAAGTTAAATAAGGTTTTCTGACGAGTAACTTGTGCTATATATCCTGAAGCTTGAACATTTATGAATCTTCCTTTGTTTGCTGAGGGCCTCTTTGGAATCAATTTTTTGTTTTTTTGTTTTTAAAGAATATATTTTGTTTATCTTTTAATTATTTTTCATTTTTTGTTTTTTAAAACAAAATAAAATTATATTTTAAAAAAGTGAAATCAACTTTTAGATATTTTCTAGGTATTTCCTTCATTTTTAAATTGAAAATAACGATGGCCAGCCATCGGGTGCTGCAGCTTCCCCGAGCACCGCTTTTAACCATCTCCTCATTTCCAAGCACAACCATTACTGCTTGTCCCTATAGATGTTACTGCCTCTGCCATCGCTACAGCAATCCTTGTTGCTGTCTCCGCAAACAACAGCCCCACAATCGCCAATTTATGCAACAAAAACAGCCCATATTTAATTTGCCAATTATGTTTTTATTTTTTTATAATTATGAATATTCAAAAGACAAACAAATAAATCAAAAAAATAAAAAAAGCAGAAAGTAATTCCCAAATGCCGCAAAATGTGTTTTGATTTCATATTTACCTTCCAACTAGGTCATGTTCATAAGAGTTTATATTTTTAAAACACTGTCAAATGAATAAAGTTAGTTGAATTATGTCTTGAAATTCATGGGAATTTGTGGCAATGCATAGAAGTTTAGAATGAATGTGTTCAAGCTTATTAATATTCATATCTATTAGAGCATTAAAGTATTTTAATTAGTTTTAAGCACAAATTATATGTGCCGTTTTCCTCTTGTTTGATTATATTGTTAGTTTGCATTATTTACGTTCTTTAATCATTGTAAATAATGATCACCAACAATTTCTGTACTTACATGGTTGTATTTGTTTCATGATTATTGTAGGCAGGAGGTACTCCTAGAGGTGGTGGGCCACCGAGAGGTAGGGGTAGAGGTCGAATAGGTCAGCACGCTTCTGTAAGGGATGGCGTGGGACCTCCCCCTTCCCGTGGCCGAGGGTTTGGGCGTATGAGCAGGGGTCGTGGAAGGAGACCCCAACAGTTTGCTCTTAACTCACAACAGCAACAAACTGAGATTGCACCAAAAGCTCCACAAAAATCACTTCTTCCAGTCGCTTGGTGTGATATATGTAGGGTGGACTGCAACAGTTTAGAAATTCTGGAGCAGCACAAAAACGGAAAGCGCCATAAGAGAACAGTGCTGAGAATTCAGGAGATTCAAGCCCAACAGAAGTTGAATTCTACAGAACTACCATCCAAGACTGCTGCAAAACCTGTTTTGTTCATACAAGGGGAAGTTGGAAATCAGCTCACCAATGAAGTCAAGAATGACGTGCTGGAGGAATCTACAGAAGGCTTTGTTGCATCAGAAAATAATCAACAACAAATGGGGCAATCAGTGCCTGCATCTGATATCACAAACACTGGGGGCTTTTTAACTGATGCTTTACAAGATGAAACCTTGCCTATGGATGGGCTTATTAAGAAGCGAAAGATATCCGGTTATGATAAGTGGAGCGGCTCCAAGCAGAAAATGATGAGGATTGGCCGTGGCGGGAAGCACTTCAAAAGCTTCGATCGAACACATAATCGGCCCTTTGAACGTCCCAAAGATCGCCCCAGAGACCGGCCGAGGGTTTGTACTGTATGCAATGTAATGTGTGATACAATGGCTGTCTTTGAGTGCCATCTCACTGGAAAGAAGCATATTTCTCGTATCAAGCGGTTTGAAGGCCATGGTTCTGTTTATGGCCCCATCAGTGTTTACATTCCTCCCAACCAACCAACAACCTATCCAAACAAAGGGCCAGAGCCATTGTTCTATGGTCTTCAAACTCTTGAAACTCTGCAACAGGGAGGTCATGGCGTCTTTCCTCAGCAGATGGAATCTGTTGCAGCTCAAGTAGAGGGTTTTGAAGAAGGTGAAGGTGTAGCTGATGAGCCTGTGGTTAAGCAGAACTTAGGAAACTTTGGAGAAGTAGGCCCTGCAACTAGTGGAGCTGCTGAGTCTATGGTTGGAAACTTTGGAGAAGTAGGCCCTGCAACTGGTGGTGCTGCTGAGTCTGTGGTTAAGCAGAACTTAGGAAACTTTGGAGAAGTAGGCCCTCCAACTGATGCAATTAACGAAGAACGAGTGGTTGCAATGCATGATCTAGATGAACGAAGCTCCCTTAACGATCCAAATGTGGGAGAGACTAATAATTCAGCACCATGTGATGATAATACAATGAATATAACCATTCTTCCTGCTGTGGCAGATGTCACTGCACCGGAGTATGAAGCTTCGAAGGAGTCTGAAATTGTTGTGCCTGGACTAAATGCCAATTCGGAAGATGCTCTTCCTAGAGGTGAATGACTGCAATGCAGGGTTTTCTCAGGTAACTAATCATAGTCCGTGAATGTTTTTTAGCAGAATATGATGGTGACTTGCTAGAAAAAGTTCTTGGAATTTTCAGTGATTTTGAACCTATGAAAATTTGACATTCGCTAGTTTCGCTGGCAAGTCTCGTTCGGATAATGAGTTATAATATTTTCTAACGTGTTTTCTTTTGTGGAGTACTGTTTTAAGTGTTCTAACTCATCTTTCTATATGGTTGTTCTTTCTATCAAAAGTCTAGATATTTTTATCTAAGTTTGTAGATCATCATCACATTATGACATTTTTTTGGGGGGATGGGTATTTCTTCAGCATTGTATGATTATCATTTGGCCTTCCACTTATCATAGCATGCCTAAAAAATAACATTTTTGTTCAGCATTGTTACAGTGGAGAGGCAGAACAACATGACTGCGTTGCTGCTCACGAACCCAACCTTTGTAGGCGTTAGAGACGAGAACGGTTTTCGTGATTATAGGATGCCTTTCATGCGCACCATCCATCTCCCAACCAACCAACCATCCATCCATCCATCAATTTGCGCATGGGTACATTTACATTTGTGCCATAATATTAAACAAGTCAATCTCCGAGGTCATTTCTGTAATAGCTATGTTCTTAACTTTAATTCCTTCCATTCATGTGTCCCAAACAATTCTGTTGAATTCCTTATTTGGATGGTGGAATACTTGTGGATATAGACCATTTATGAACAATCCACATAAATCCTGATGCTCTTTTTTAGATGTTTATTTTATTTTCTTACATTATATCCATATGCAGTGTTAGTTTTGTTTCTCCTAGGTTAATCAATTACTCTTCGCGGTGTTTCGGTGTTCCTAGAAGCATCTAATGTATTTTTGTTATAATAATTTGATATCAGAGCATCGTCTAGTCAAACATATGAATTGGTGTCATTAAAACTTTCTGATATCTTCGTGGTGTGCTTAAAGTCTTAAAGAGGACATATTCCGTAATTTGCACGAATTAGGAGGTGGATTAAAAGGCCCTTAGTTTGATCATCCTTAGTTTGAGAGATAAATTCTTTGAAATATGGTTGAGGACGAAGGTGTAAGGAGAAAGCCCAATTGAGTACTTATTGAGGATAAGTAGGAGCTTGGCAAATTAAGAAGAAGAGGGAGATTGAAATCCGAATCTAGAACGGAAATAACTGTGCTGCTAATGCGAAAGAAACCTCGAAAATGGAAATTTGAATTGTTTTAAGAAATGCTTGATGGAGAAGTTGATAAACGGAAATAACTGTGCCGCTACTGCGAAAGAAACCTCGAAAATGGAAATTAGAATGCGAATTGTTTTAAGAAATGCTTGATGGAGAAGTTGATGAAATAAATATAGTTTTGTCTTAGAAGCAACATCAATTGTGTAGGAGCAAAAGTATGAGCTTGATTTATTTTTATGGTTGCATATCCTTTTGTTGTTTCAATTGAAGATTATATTCTAGATGTTCAGCAAGGTTTGGTTTACTTCTTATACAAGGAGATGTTATGTATCAATTTCTTCCCTAGGCGGTGTTTGATGGCATATTAATAATAGGATTTTAAGGATGGATTTAACTCAAGTCCAGCCAAACACAAAAAAATTGAAGATTAAATTCAACTCTCCGTTAAAATGAATTTTCCCGTGTTTTGTTAGCTTTTCCCCTAGTTTTTGTCTCTTCCCCGATGTAAATCCGGATGAGACGGATTTATTCATCGTTGCTGGCAAGCTTCACCGTCAAAAATAAATCCAGATTTATCGGATATGATAAATTCTACGGGACTTAAATCAAGGATACAGCCAAACACCGCCTTAGGTAATTTGATTAGATTATGGCATTTTTGAGACCTATCAGAGTTTAGCAAGAGAAACATGCTTGCTTTTGAATTCCATGAGCATTGTGTTTAGGTAAGCATCATAAATTGAAGTTCATATTTCTAAATTTGCCCTAGACTATATTCATTATGGCTTGTGGGATTTTTCATTTTATGTCAGGTCAATAAGTGGATCTGGATGAATGTTTATATTTATTGGTTATTTCTGAAGGAAAGCATGGCTTTTATGTTTTAAGCAAAACAGTACATGCATACCACTCAACCTCTATATATTTACTTATCAAAAACTTAAAACTTCATTTTTTACATACATACCCTTTTATTCATGCATGAAAATGTGTATTTCAGTTACAGTTTGTTAGATATGCAAATGCATAGGAATTGGGTGGTATTCATGTGAATGCTCTTGTTCAGAAATGGAAGATACATTGGGAAGCCAACTGACAAAATATCAAGTGGGTTGGGGTTCATAATGGCTTAGAGGTTGTTCTTTTGAGTTCATGTGATGTGAAAGATTTGGGTGGCAAATATGTAAAAAAGTAAAGATTAGTTGTTAGATATGCAAATGCATTGGAATTGAGTGGTATGCATGTAAATGCCCCCATTCAATAAAATGGAAGATAGATTGGGAAGCAAACTGACAATATCGAGTTGTTTGGGGTTAGATTTGAGGCAAAATATATATCTTTGTAATTGGAGTGAGCTTCAATCAAGTTATGTAAAAAATATATATATTATATTATATCATATTTAATCTATATGATACATTATCTCAAAAATATCATACGATGATTTAAGCATGACTACGTCGCTCTATTATTTATTTATTCTTTTATTTTGAATTTAAAATTTATTAGTAGTAGTAATAAGATGGTAGGTTACTAATAGAATAAATTAGATAATAGAATATATGATGCTTCTTTTGATGATTATGAAAGTAATGGTGAATTCAGTGTGGATTTTGAGCCTCATGGAATATTTAAATTTTAAATGAATATTTATTTAGAATTATCTTTTAATTTTTTATTTTATATTATTATTTGATAATAAAATTTATAGTTTATATATTTATGATAATAAATCAAATGATTTGTCATATTTATGAATTATTTTAATTATATAATTTTATTTATTTGTTTATTTTATTATTTGAGACCCACCCTAAACTATTACTTCTTTTAAATATAAGAGAGTGAATGAAGCAACTTAGGTAAGTCTTCTTCTTGCTTATTTATTCACTTTTGAGGTGACATGAAATTATGGTAGATTGGTTGAGAGCCTTTGTTGAGGAATAGAACTTAGGGTTTGGTTCAACTCCCATATGATAAAAAGATTTTCTACAAATATCTCTAAATGCAAAATAGGATGATTTTCATCATATGATAGATATGTGGATATTTTTGTCATAAACACCAAGATTTCAAATTGCAGTTAAAAAAGCTCGTGTTGATTTTTTTCTTTTAAGTTTTTTGGATAAATGATCCTTAAGGGCACCATCATTAGTTGCTAAACGTCATTGTGATTCGATATTTTTGGATAAATGATCCTCTGGCTTCCTCTATCGTCCGGTTTTGTTGATTTGTCTATCTCTTCCACTAATATTTTGGTTAGGCCTATGCTCGATTTAACTCTGTTTAGACTTCCTCACCAACCCATGAGGGCCTCTACCCTTTCTAATGCACTATCATGAACATATCCCTTAGCTTATGTCTGATACTAACCTCAAAAATCTGTCAGATCTAATGGTGATGTTCCGAAAATCATTAAAATGACCTCTACGAATTAAAAAGTGTATAAGCTTAGTTAGCATAAAAAAGTAAAAATTATATCATACCTCGAACTTCCTAAAATACATATCCCAAGTGACAATCGGGATCTGCTTCCATAAGAGATATGTCTGGCCATTCTTGTTCTTGATGATCTCCATGATCCAGATCACGAGCGGCTTAAAGGGGTAGAACCTCCAAAAGAAATAATAGGCACATTATAAAATGGACTAAAAAATAAAATTAGTATACTGTAAAAAAAAGTTGACTTGCGAGTTACCGTCCAACTCAAAATAGACCCTGCCAGCGGTGTTTGTCATCTCAGGTGCTGGAGTCGAGGGGCCTGACTCATCGAATGAGGAAGCTGGGTGGAAATATGATGCAAGAGTGGGAGTTGGTGCCTACGAGGAACTTGGTGATGGAGGACGGGCAACATAAGGGGTCACTGAAGTGGCTGCACGAGTTTCATGCATTTTAGTTCCACTGATGACATTCTTCAGCCCCAATATGTGTTGCCTAAAGTCCCCTGAACGTCTGGCCTCTCCGGAAGTTGAGAAGTTGCCATCTGCGACGAAAAAAAATTAAAAATTAATAAGCATTATTATTATGTAATATAAGATAGAAAAATAAAAGCAAATCAATGAAACATGTCATGTCTATGCATAAAGTTAAAAAAAATTAAGCAGGACAACTACAGTGGAACAAGCCAAAGTAAAAGCAATAAGGTGCATAAATTAATCACTAAGTATACTTACCCTTTTTTAGTCTATTTCATTCGATGATCTAGATGTCGAAAAACTTAAAACTTCATCAATATTGTCATCATTTTCATACATATCTTGAGGAACTTCTTCAAAATCCCTGTGGTATCCTCTAGGGGCAACTCCTCCTCGATTGAGCTAAGCTGAATACGAAAATCAGATATAACTCACTGTTGGCGAATAACTTTTATAATATTTTGCGTCTCAAAATTTTTTTTGTTGTTTATTCTTCAATGCACAACTCAATCAAATTTATCACTTGCTCGACAAATATAACAAAGATAAGAAACCTAACTAGCCTGACAAGCCAAAATAAATGGGTCATGCTTCGCATATCTTTTGTTCAACTTATCTTCAGCAATATCATATGGGCCCAACATTCGTGTTCCTCAATTAGGAACGAGATCTAAACACCCAGAGTTGAACATGTAGACATTGAGTTCAACTTAGCTACGATATTGCAACTGAATTACTTCAATGAGTTTGTCGTAATTACTAATCTTATTATCTGTGTGTGTGTGTTTCCTCTACAAAAGCACTAAAATTATAAGTTGGTTTTCTTTCGCACCAGCAACTCATTTGAAATTTGTAATGATTAACTTCAAATATTTGTCATGTCCTCACACCATGATTAGACCTCCAAAGCAAGATCTAATAAGTAAAAACCTATGAGTTTGTTGCTTGTATTATAAATCTACTAGAAGTTCCAAAGCATAATTAATTTTACTTTGTAGAGTACAATTACACAACGTACCAGTGAAATTAAAGGTTACTTCAACATACATGTAATTTGAACCATTTTAGAAATTCTTCTTTGGTTTTCTTGCTTACTTTAAAGTCATCCTCTACTTTTAAGCTCTTTGTAAATAAGTTGCGGACATCATCGTGCGTATCATGTCTACCTAATGGTTCACTAGATAATTGGAATACCGATAACTCTATTTGTAAAGACATCTATGGACATCATCGTGATTTGTATATCCCAGCTAATTGGTAAAACATTCCGTAAAAATATATAATTAGATTTAATCTTATTGTAGGGATGGTTGTATTTTATCGCAGTTCAGTGGAGCATATGAAGTAGTTGCTGGAAGCTCTCTATCGTTTAGGTAGTGCGTATCATGTCTACCTAATGGTTCACTAGATATTTGGAATACCGATAACTCTATTTGTAAAGACATCTAACTAACAATTTCATGCATATGTTGCCCTTGATTGAAGCAATAAGAACAAAAAGTAATTGTCTTCTGTAATAGGTATGTCTCGCATATCGAACCCTTCAGACGTGCTTTATTCTTAGCAGTCTTTTTTATTTTATTCAGAAATCTGCACACTTTAGTCATTTTAGAGAAAAAAAAAAGATAATTGTTCACTCTAAACTAAAGGCATACGTCTCA